CAATAGTCCTCAGACGGTGAGCCGCAAAGTTTAAAAATCTGAGGCAATTAAAAGAATAAATTGAGGCAATAGTCCTTAGACAGTGAGCCACAATGCAGAAGATTTCTAATGCTAGAAATTAACATTGTCAAGCAAGGAAGGACATCACAAGAACCAATGCATAATTTGTCAGTGATAGCATAATAGTGGAATTTATTTGGCATTGAAAAATGATGACAGCATAATGCAGACAAGATATACATCAAGGATAATGTAAAACATTACCATAGAAATCTTGTGAATTCATGTGCTGATCTCTTGTCCCCTGAAATAAGAGACTCAAATGTGTCCTTCTAGCATGCTATTTATAGACCTTGTCATGCTCCTTACTACAACAAAAATCATGAACCTCTAAGAGCAGGTCAGAAATAGTATTTATAGAACTTGGTGAAACTGATTTCCTTCACACCAATAAATTATGCATTAGAGTAGTTATTGAAAGAGGACTAAGGGCCTAAAAAAAGTATACTTATCAACATCCATTTCATATGTTTTTATAAATGACCCGTCCTTCATCAATTTCAGGCTCAGACTGTTGAACCTCTCTCGCGAATACTGCCTTGATGCCTTTCTCCAATCTGTTCCGACCTTCATCATGTTCGCGAATTCTTCGTAGCTTACCTTCCCGTCCTGCAATTCAAATGGCGGATACAATCAAAATATGGTCCCAAAAATGCTATCCTCCAATAGACAAAAGACAAAATAGGAAACTGAAGAAACTTAGGAATGCAGGAAAATTGTATAATATGTATCCACTTGTTGAATAAAACAAGAAACTATCTTACAAGCATAACCACAAAATAGAAGATGGAAAATGGAAAATGATTTAGAAAGTGAAAATAGGCTCAACTAACCTTATCTGTGTCCACGTCATGCATAATTGCACTAATGACCTATTAAAGAGAAAAATGTTGACGTAAAGGAAGAGAAACCGAGAGAGGCTGACCTTGACATAAGATTTTCATCGGCAACACTCAATATCCTCACTGCCAACAGCCTAGCATTTGTTGCATTATTAACAGCAACAGTGGCAACAGGGACACCTCTTGGCATCTACACACCCAACAATCATATTTGTATGTAAGAAACAATTACATATAATATATAAGTAATTGCAAAAATTTACCATTCCTACGGTGGACATGAATCATGATTAGTCTGCTAGAATATTTTATCAGTCTATTTATATAGTAATGATATCATTTCTTTGGTTCATTCATGTCGTGCAATCACTTGCTCAAAACATAAACATAAACAAAACAAAGCAAGGCAACACAAGGGTGGTATCGAAGGGATGGGAGGATATTGTTACAATAAATGTGAATATCTATGGGATGCACCAGGGGGAAAATTGTGTAAGAAAAAGGGTGCAAGGGAAAACGTGAAGATAAGTCTTGACGATTGGTTTTAAGCATCTAGCAAGTATACTGATTGAAATTTGCCTTTAAAATGTGGGTCAACTGATTGTCAAAACAACTTCTCAAGTGCTTCAGGATTTAGGTGTTGCCAAACTCATCAATAACCAATTCCTCAGAACTGGTTATGCTTCTCACAACATTGTTTTTAAAAATAGAACCTTGTTCCTTTTAAAAGAAAACATCTACTGATCATTTTTTAGCCTTGAGATTGAATAAAGGCATCTTTCATTGACATACAATAAACGACAATATTATTAACCTTCATAAAATTACCAGACTCCTTAATGGTGATAGAGGCTTCAAAATTCGTACACATTTTTTTTAGAAATTCTATTAGTCTTTTTGTCAACTAACAAAAAACCAACATAAAATCGTTCACTCACGAGGATTCCCAGTTAAAAAAAAAACATTGATCTTAATCTTTTAAAAAGAAGCAATAATATCAGATTAGATTTACAAACATAATACTAAATCTTATCTTATTTCATTAGAAAAGCAATCACGTGGAGCGCAGAAAGTAAGAATTAAATATCAGATTAGATCACTGAAATCTGTACCTGGATAATTGACAAGAGTGAATCAACTTCGTCGAGGGTAGAACCGCGTACAGGAACACCAACTACAGGAAATGGAGTCATAGCAGCCACCATTCCTGAGATTTGGAAACTTAATCAATAATTAATGCCATTAAGACAGTTGATCTTGGAATTAATTATACAAACACACTTGAAACAATTTACCAGGCAAGTGAGCTGCACCACCAGCACCAGCAACGATAACTTGAATGCCTTGTTTATGAGCAGACGAGGCATAATGAAGCATCAGATTTGGAGTTCGATGTGCTAAAATTATTCTTACCTAAAATTTGATACATGAACATCTAGGTAAGAATAAACAACTTGACACAGGATGGTCCCTTCCCTAGAGGAAATTTAAACAATCTAACCTCATGAGGCACCCCAAACATTTCCAAGATTTTAACAGCATCTTTCATAACAGGCATATCTGAATCAGAGCCCATTATAATCCTCACACGTGGAGCTACTACAATTTAATTTTAATAAACAAAAAAATTGTTGTTTGGGAATAACAATTTTTTTTCTTCTGAATATGAAATCTAGCTATTCACCTTCTTCGGTTGAATTTCCACACTCTCAACCATCCACAACCCAACTCTTCCATCCTAGGGAAACTTTCTTCTCTCATCTTCAAATGGATGTTGAAAAATTATGGGACTATAGGGCAATTTAAAAACCTCAAGCATTGACTTTTAACAATATAATGAAACAATGCACCAGAGAAGGAACAAGCTTCAAAATAACTTCAAAGCACACATAATATGTATAAAAGAAACAGAAATCAAAGAAGCCATATATGAAGCCAAACACAGGAGTATCATTTTCTCTTCTTTTTAATCTTAAAAACAACACTTCATCAAAAGAATGTAACATGTAGTTAAAATAGATTATATTGGACCATACCATACTATTATAATTCTCATCATCATCTGCAAAATTAACAATATTTTCTAACTCCATTTCAAATATGCATTTTGCATCCGGATGCATGTTGCCATCCAATCCAATTTCCACCTACATCCAAGACAAATAAAATTAACTTAATGATCAAAGGTCCCAACATTGTTTTGACTGAAATCTGACAGGGACTTAACAAATTTACATCCAACTCTATCAATTTAAGTAGCATGGTATTTGGCATGTCATAACATGAAATGAAAGACAATAAATTCATTAAATTCATTAAATTGAGTAACTAATACAACAAGAATTTGCAACAACCATTTCACTGAAAATGCAAAATGAACTCACATGCTCTGTCACATCGTAACGTTTCGGTATATTCTGGACAACTATTGGTGATAATCGCATGGGAGCAAGGGGCACCAAATCAACTATTTGTTTCAGAGCATCATGCACCCGAGACAGAACCTTATTCTTTCTATCAGCTCCATTTTCATTTTTCAGAAAACCAATGACATGTTTAGGAGCTGTAAAATGCCTCACAAGCCTCTCCAAACACCAATCAATATACATTCCCTTCGAAGCAGCCTGCAAAAAATACATATTAAGAAAACTTCAATAAATTCTCAAATGGCTTCATCTACAAATTACAAAGATATTGAGGTAATACAAAATAAAATATTCACCAATGATACGAGGAGCTTAATCAAAGCATCCATGATATCAGTTGCATCATAATTCTTATATATTGTAGCCAAATTCCACAAGCTCATTCTCTCAAGCTGAACAAAATAAAATTAATAGTAAAGCTTAATTTTTTTAACGATTGTAACTAATTATCAAATTGAACAATAAATTATGGTTAAAAATCTCTAAGAATGATTACCGAGACTTCAAGAAGAGCATCTCTAACGTGATATGTTAACTGCAAATCACTGATTGAAATAGAAGGAGAAAGGGATGAGACGGAAATGGAGGAATGAAGGAGAAATGCGGCTAGGTTAAATCATCTGGGAAGAAGAAGGTTATGTAGTTTCGGTGGCTATTAGGGTTTGGTATTGGGAGGAGAAGAAGAGTTTGGAGGAAGTGAGAGTGATGACATTAAGGGTTGAGTTTTTTTTTTATGACGAGACACAGCCGATCAAACTAAGTGAAAGAGAAGATGAACCGTGAGGAGGTTTGATGGTGGTGAGCCGATTTCGGCAACTAACTGGGAAAGAGAGAGGAAGAAAATTGGAAAAAGGGAGAAGGTGAGGGAAAGAGGGAAGACAAGATTTTTCAAAAAAACTTCTGTCACTGGCAAAATTGGACCATGCTATTGGTCAATGTTTTTGTATTTAATAAATTACCAAAAAGAGCATGGTCTAGTCTTAAATAAAAATCAAGTGAAGGATAAATTAGTAAGAATGGTTGCATTTTCATTAATGGGTAGGTAGTTGATAATATTAAAATAATAATTAGAGTAATTGAAATTTAATAGTGTGTCATATCATTCTTATTACAATACAAATTGTTTATTATTACCGTTACTATTAAAAAATTTAATACTCAAAATTGGACCATGCTATTGGTCAATGTTTTTGTATTTAATAAATTACCAAAAAGAGCATGGTCTAGTCTTAAATAAAAATCAAGTGAAGGATAAATTAGTAAGAATGGTTGCATTTTCATTAATGGGTAGGTAGTTGATAATATTAAAATAATAATTAGAGTAATTGAAATTTAATAGTGTGTCATATCATTCTTATTACAATACAAATTGTTTATTATTACCGTTACTATTAAAAAATTTAATACTCCTAAACCTACATTCTAGCATACTTCAAAAATGGGTAGTAAGTAATTGTAGTATGCACTTTGCACACGGGTGCGTACTCTAGCGGTGGAACCGAGTTACACTAACATAAACACGTAATCTGTTATCATTGTTCCCTCCCCCCTCTTGCAGAACGAAACGAAGGCGTTCCATTTCCCGGCGACGGTGAATCTAACATGCTCTTCAATTAGGGTTTCGAAACTCTCCTCAAACTCACTCTCTTAATTTCAATAAACAACTCTCAATATGGCGTCTCTTTCACTTTCATCTCCCAATTTCGCCACCGCTTTCCTCGCCAAGAAACTGTACTCCCTCTCTCCGTTTCTCCATAATTCTTTAATTCGCTTCAATTTTCAGATTAATCACTGATTTGCTTTTCATTTTACTGGTTCCGGATTCATAATTTCTTTTTCATTTATCTTAACGAATTTGGTTTTCTCCAGTCCCCTTCGGGAAATTACGCGGAAACCAAGAACAAATTCTGATGTTTCATTTCGTACTAGATGCGCGGTAGATACGCCCTATGGAGGTATGGTTTACGTGTTTTATCTTTGAATTTACGAATGTTTGAATATTGTTACTTGGCTGAGTAATCGATGAAATTAAAGACTAGTAACTGATTGTGCATATTCCTGTGTATGAATGAACAATTAAGCAATATTGCTCATATATTTTCGTTGAATGCACTATCTATAGTATTTAACTCTGACAAAGTGCTAATCACAACCAAGGTTTTAAAAAACGAAAAAAAAAGGAAAAAGGAACAGCTGCAACAGATCGGCATGTGCTGATACCAATACCGTTAATTCACACCGCAACGACCGCAACCAATGTAATAACACCTGTACGGAATATGACCGCAACCGTTTTTCTTCTTCACAACAATAATAACAAAAAGTCTTATCCCATTAGGGCTCGGTTACATGAATCAGAAGATGACATAATTCCCTATCGTGCATTAAACTCAAAGATAGACCATTTATACTTGAAACTCTCTTAATGAGTTGGTCTAGAGTTTTTCTTATACCGCTTTCCATAAATGAATTGATCTTAAACTCAAAACTACGTAGCGTGTGTTTGGTTCTGCGATGAAAAGAATTGATTTTGAGTGAATCCATTCTAGCTAAAAGTTAGTTGAAGGGGAAGTGATTTACGTTTGGATAAATTTATGCAGAAGTGAGTTGAATAGTAATTTTCAATGTAAAAATCACGTTTAAACTCAAAAGTTACAAATTCTAGCTTCAAGTAAAATCAATTCTTAAGGCATACTCAATTCTACTTTAGAAGAACCAAACATACACTTAATGATGCTTCTATCCTATGGGTTCACAAAGTGCTAGTTTATGTTGCAATTTCCCTCCAAGAGCTTCTTGCATGCTATTATTATGGTTTCTTCACTTCCTTACTTCTATATTTAATAGTGGAACTGTATCTAAAAGGGAGAGCTTATATTTAAAACGCATTGGCTATTAGTTTTGCACTAGTTGCAAGCAAACAGTAAAGTTTGCCTTGGTAATAAATGGAAGCAAGGTCTATCTTGAACATTTGTAGCCAGAGACCAGAGATTTGTCTCTGCTGTTGCTGTACCACTTGTGGATAAATGTGGAAATCACTAACCTATGTTGGTGAGCTACTAGACTGTAGCACACTGATAGGCGATAGCTATTCAAGTTTATTCATGTAATTAAAAAAACACACCATAGTCTGGAGGCTTAAATGAGCCATGCTGGAGCTTTTTTATACTCGTGTTTAACATTTTTTCTTCGAAATGATTCATTATTAAAATGGTAATGAAGCGGTGAAATTGTTTTCTTAGTAAAAACATACTGAGGGTGCGTGAATGCAACGACCATTCTTATGGTTTGCTATTTATGATTAATTCCACATCTGTGTAATGAGTTTCCAAATTATTATGTCACATTGCACCAATTTTTTTGGAGCCCTATTTATTCAGTATATCTTGCACACAAATATCACTATTTCCTTAATATGTTAATAACACTTGTTTATTCTTTAGCTTATTTTCTCATAAGTCGGCTGCTCAAAGCAGTTTGAATAGTGACAACAAATGATGAATAGTCTCTGTAAATTGTACTCAATCTGATGAACTATTACAGATTTGGTAAGAAAAATCTGACAGAAGGATATTCTATCAGGCCCAAAGCAAAAGTGGCTTCCCTCACCAAGAATATCTTGATGAACACTCTTCTCAGAATTTGGGTTGGACCTAACTCATCCCTACAAAACCGGCTTGTAAGGTGAGGACTGTCCCATTTATAAACACAACACATACCATATCTCTTAACAATGTGGGATTTAATCCACCCCTTCAAAGCCAACACAATGAAGGTGTAAGGGGCTGCAATGAAGGCAATGCAAAGTGTCGCAATTAAGGCGACTAGGGATAGACCACAATTAAGGCGACTAGGGATGGACCACAATTAAGGCGGAAATTCCAACACCTCCCTTCACGGATGGGCCTCAATGATTCCGAAGGGTGGACGATGCGGGAAGCCCAACAATGGATCTAAGATAGAGTCTGATACCATCTCAAAATTTGGGTTGAGCCTAACTTATCCCTACAAAACCGGCTTGTAAGGTGAGAATTGCTCCCACTTATAAACACAACACATACCATATCTTCAAGCAATGTGGGCTGCAATGAAGGCAAGCCAAAATGCCGCAATTAAAGCGACTAGGAGCGGACCGCAATTAAGGCAGAAATTCCAACAGTTCAGCTTCTTTTCCTCCCTTGTAACATTTCCTATGGTAATTTCTCTACACATTGGGCCTAGTCCCCTTATCCACCAATGATTGGCCCAAATCTTCCCCACATCCCTATTACCAGTGCTGTTAAATAGCGATCATGGCAGATTTGTGCCAACCGCCATATGCAATTTGTGAACCACCACCTACCATGGTGGTGCCTTAGGTCGCAATTTTGCATTTGTGTGACAAAAATTTTGCTATCCACCATTGACAAGCTTCTTAATTTTATGGCTTAAGTCAAGCTCCCTTTGCTCTCACCCTCCCTTCTCTTGGATCTCCCCCTTCAGGATTTAACTAGTAGTATCCCTCAACCTTGGGCGTGTAAATGTTTTAGTGGACAGTGATATTTTCCTTGTTTTAATTATTAAATACATGGAAATTTCATTTGCCTTAAATTGTATCTTCATTTATATGACATTAGGTATTATTCCCTAAACATTTCATAATGCATGCTAAGGAGCAAAAGAGGCTTTGATTAGTATGCCTGTAGGTTATGTTTTTTGGGGAGGGAGATTGAGTACTTAAAGTTGCAAAAGGCCAAGCTAAGCAGCGCAGGATTTCAGGGAACAAAGACATTGACTATATCAGTGTTATCAAATTGCGGCGCCATGGCTGCTATACATGGCGGTTTTTGGGCTTGCCGCAACAGTAAATATTGTCCGGTATTGTGGGTTTTTCCACTATAATCCGCTATAACGACGCCGCAAAGCGATTGGTATGGTGGGATTTTGGCTCTCCGCCATGAACCGCCATCCATCATAGACAACACTACAACACTGGACTATATAAGGTAAATGGGGAGACAAGAGGGGGCAATATTAATAGTTCCATCCAATAGGGAGAGGGGTTGTGAACAGCCAAAAAATCAGGATTGCAGTTTCATTCCCTGAGTTTAGTTGGAGCCAACACTCAACTATCTCTCTGTTGAAGAAGGGCTTGATCTTCTTGATTTGATTAGTACGCCGGTAGGTTATGTTTTTTGGGGAGGGAGATTGAGTACTTAAAGTTTCAAAAGGCCAAACTAAGCAGCGCAGGATTTCAGGGAACAAAGACATCGACTATATAAGGTAAATGGGGAGGCAAGAGGGTGTAGTATAATAGTTCCATCCAATTAGGAGAGTGGTCATGAACAGCTAGAAAATCAGGATTGCAGTTTCGTTCTGAGTTTTGTGATGGCTATAGTAATGGCCATATAAAATATTCAGATCTAATATTTATACATTTGATTTCAAGTACACATTGCATTTACTAGTTTTATGTCCTTTCCTGGTAGCTTGTTGGGTGATTTGAACTTTGAAATATCCTTGGCTTTAGCATGACTTTTGGATCATTGCTTCTCATGATTCATATAAAATCATAAAGTCTGTGTTTCTACTACATAGCTACACTTCGCTATTTCTATTTTCCAACTTATGGAAATGATGAATTTATTTATATGTATATACACATGCACCCTTTTCTACAGGTAATGTTCCAAAATTTCCCCGAGTCAGTGTTTGGGATCCTTTCCGACGCCTTGGAGTAACCCGTGATGCTTCTGAAGAAGAGATTTGGGGGTCAAGAAATTTTCTGTTGCAACAATATGCTGGACACGAGAGGAGTGTAGAATCAATAGAAGCTGCCTTTGAAAAAATATTGATGGCTAGTTTTGTACAGAGAAGGAAAACAAAAATTAATTTGAAAAGCAAGTTGAAAAAGAAAGTAGAGGAGTCCCCACCATGGTTTAAGAACGTGCTAAACATTGTTGAATTTCCACCAACTGAAATTATCCTCCGAAGATTATTTCTCTTTGCCTTCATGGGTGGCTGGAGCATCATGAATTCTGCTGAAACTGGACCTGCTTTTCAGGTTTGCTTTGAGTTTCTTTTATTATTTATCTTTACACGGTGTATAATTAAATGCAGAACTCTTGATTTTCAGCTTGGCTGTGCACATTCTTAAGTGTTTCAGTCTTTTGGATAAACTTTTTATATTACATGTCTACAACTACAACCTTCCATCTATTCACCTGTGTGTGAAGGCCTATTAAAGTGAATGTGTTCGAATTTTGAACTATTAAGGTTCATGTATAGTTTGGAGTTATGCAATGGGACATATTTTAACAAGTTCATTGCTCTCTCACTCTGCCGCCCCCTCCTCACCATGTGTCTGAATATTTGCATATTGACTATGGCAATTCTTTTGTTATAGGTGGCAATCTCTTTGGCTGCTTGCATATACTTCCTTAACGAAAAGACGAAGAGTTTGGCTAGAGCGTTCATCATCGGGTAAGTGTTACAACTTGCTTCAACTTATGTTTTTCCTTTGATTTTTGTTATTAACAATCAATTTTCCTGCATTGCACAATTATAGGTTTGGAGCTCTTGTGGCTGGATGGGTCTCTGGCTCGTTGCTGGTACCCAATATTCCAACATTTTTGTTGCGCCCAACTTGGACCCTTGAACTCTTAACATCTTTAGTAGTTTATTTTTTCTTGTTTGTTGGTTGTACTTTTTTCAAGTAAAATGTGGCAACTATTCTTCCATAGTTTCATTCAGTGTACTGTACTCTTAATGAGTTTCTAGGTGATCAAACTCTTACATATTTTTTGCTTACCTCAGTTTCCTACTTGCTACTGTCAGCATAGATATTACTAAGCCATGGTTCTTTGCGTAAACTTCGGTTGGCTATGGGAGCATGTTCCTCCTTGATAGGTGACTTTACACTTCAAAAATATTAGAAACGATAACTGAATTGTATATTTGAATTGAATTGAATTGCATTGCACCATAAAAAAATTGAACCACTTAAATGGTTAATGAACTAAATTATTTAATTAAAACAATTCAAATATAGTTTGAAATCGGTTCAGAACTAATTTTCTTTTATAAACTGGTTTAATTATATAAATTAATTAATTTTTAATAAAAAGAATAAAAATTAAATGAAAGTAAAAAAATATTTCTAAATTTTTTTTCTTTGAAAATTTTAAAAAATAATTTCTAGAAAATATATTTTTTTATTTCTTGAAAATAAAAAAAATAAATAATATTGATTTTGTCTCAAAAATTGAATTTTTTTTAAGATACAAAAAATCTATTTTTTTTCAAAATATTCATGTGTTGAAGTTATAGCTAATATAGGACAACTTAGTGGTTAAAATGTTGGTTTTTTATGGTAATGTAGGTGATCTGACCTGATCAGGAGGGATCACGGACTGGCTACACTCCGCTGGACGGTTATCTGTTCGCCGGGGTAAGAAAGAGGAGGGGGGTGTACCTGCAAAGCACTCCGACGCCCAAGTAAGAAGTTGGACAGAGAGGAAGCAATAGTACAGAAAAAGGGGCAAGAAGAGTTACCTGACCCTCTTGAAGAAGAGGGTATTTATAGAGAGACCCCAGCGCTGGGCCAACGGTCATTCGAGGTGGGCCAGACGACCAGGCCCAACCCTAATGACTGCTAGGGCTTACGTGGCGTAGTGAAGACCAGGACGTGGTCTTCGCCCTAGTTCAACCGCTCCTAGGTCTCCGGAAAGTGGGTTTGACCTGCTCTTTCGGAGGTGGGCGGTTGGCCGATGACGTGTCCCCGCGGAGGGGAGCACGTGGAGAACGTGCGCCGAGCACGTTATTCTCCCGCGGAGGGAGCCCGGGTAGTCTTGCTCGTCCGGCGTGACGGACGACAAAAGGGGCGCGGAGCGGTAGCTTGTGCCCGGCGGCCAGTCCTGCTCGTTCGAAGGGGCGCGTGCCAGGCGCGCCCAGTTCGCTTGTTGGGCCGCATTTGGTATTGGGCCTGCCGAGGTGAGGCCCATATCGGAACAGGAGCCCCCCAAGTCGAAGCTCTGGGGAAGAGCGAGGACTTAAGGTCGTCATGTCTGGAGCGGGGACTCGCACGAAGGGCTCCGGTCGTCGGTAGAACGGGGAGGAGGCAGATGAAGGGACGCGACTGTCAGGTTGCCTCCACGTGTCTTGTGTTAAGCGGTCGTAGGGGCGGCTAACCTATGTCATTAATGAGCCTAGAGTCGCTTCGAGTCCCGCGCCGGGTTATAAGTATGGCGGTCCCCGCTCATTCTGTTACTTTTCTCTCTGCTAATCTTTTATCGTCTCTGCTCGTCCGCCGCTTGCCGCCGATCGCCGCCGTGTCGTTTGCTCTTTTCTTCCGTCCGCCGCCGTTACAAGTGAGTTCCTCTTTTCCCTCTCTTTTTATTTCCGTCGTCTAACTGGAACGTGTGGTCGGGGCGGGATGAACGCCCCGAGGAGGGATGCGAGTTCCGCCGCGTCTGGCGAGTTTTCCGATGAATGTCCCGGGGACGGTAGGCTAGTTCCGATGAATGCCCCGAGGACAGGAGCTTTTTCTGATGAATGCCCCGAGGACGGGGGCTTTTCTCCGATGAATGCCCCGAGGACGGGGGCTTTTTCTGATGAATGCTCCGGGGAGAAGTACCTTCTCCGACGGCCGTCCCGAAGGGGGTGAGGGGTCGTTCTTCGATCCCCGAGGAGGGTAGACGGGGAGCGAATGTCTGCTCGTCGCTCCTCGGCCTTTGTCGCCCTTTCACTTGACTTGCGGTGGAAGGGTGGATTTGATCCTGGCTATCGAATTCACCGATGTCCTCTGCTTTCAGGTGTAGATGTCGGCTCTGGTGCCGGGGATAATGGTTGAGGATACTGAACCCGAGGTCCCGGAGTATGACGACGAGCGTATCGCCCCGTCCGAGGAGTGGGCGGCCGAGGAGCCACTTTCCATCCCCTCTTGCTTTGTGGTCGACTCGTCCGACGTGTATGCCACGGTCGAGGACACGCCGATAGGAGAAACGCAACACTGGCAGGTGTACCGCCCGAAAGAGCACCACCGGATCTGTTCGCGATATGGGCGGAAGATGTTCCCGATGTACGAATTTTATTTTAAAGAAGCTCGGCTCCGGTTACCGTTTTCCGCCTTCCATCTGGGGCTTTTTGACTGGCTGCGTCTTGCCCCGTCTCAGCTGCACCCAAACGCTTTGGCTTTCATCCGGGCTTTCGAGGTGGTGTGTTTCTACCTCTCGGTGGAGCCGACGGTGCCGTTATTTTTCCGCATCTTTCATTTGCAGCGGCAGACGGTGCGAGGTCGTCACGGATGGGTCTCTTTCAAACAATCGACCAAAATTTTCAAAGCGTATAGCGATTCTGTCAAAGACTTCAAAGGTCGGTTCTACCTCGTCAAACCGATCACGCAGCACGGCTCGGACACTCTCTTTGACGAGGGCGAGCGCACGGTAGATGGCCAGCGGTTCCGCGCGTGGCTTCCTAAGATACATCTACTGTGGACCTCGGAGCATTTCAGTCGAGGGACGGATAGGTATATCGTCCGGGCGGGGACCCTCGAGGAGAAGGACATGGCTGCTTATTTGAAAATAATTGCTTTTGTGCGGTCACTCCCCCCGTCGAAGCTGGTGACGCCCGACGGTCGGTACATCCTCGACGCCCAGGGGAACATACGCACCAAGAAGCGTTTGATAAATACCAAGACTTTGCTCGGCTGCGCGACCGGGGCGGCCGCTCTGGATTATCTAGGTAGGGATGTTCGTTTTCCCTCGTGGTCGGGGTTTCTGATCGTCACTAACCTATTTCTTTGTTTTTGCAGCGAACATGTCTACTGTCGACGAGCGAGTGAAGCAGTTGCGCGCTGCCAGGAATGCCGTGGCCCCGAGGACGAGGGTGAGTCAGCTGGTTGGTCAGGAGGTCGCGACGCACGGGGGGCAAACTTCGTCCTCGTCGCCTCAAGAGAGCCAATCCCCTGTGTCTCAAGGAGTGTCGAAGAGGCAAAGGTCCGAGGAGCCTCGGGTGGTGGATCTGACGGTCGGCGCCGTCGAGGAAGGTTATGTCGTCCCTCCCTGCCACCAGCACCCGGGATATTTTCATGGTGCCCGTTCCCCCACTGTTTCCGCCGGGGAGGTGAAGGCTGTTCGCCAGGCTGATCGGGAGACCCGTCGACGTGTCCTGGCTGAGGACTTGGCCGCGATGATGCGGACGTTTACGACGGCTCTCGTGCTGAACGAGGAGGGCTGCTCCGCTGCTGAGCTGTCCAAACTGCAAGGGGATCTCACTTTCACGCAGTCGCGGTTGGCCAAGCTCACTGAGGAGTTGGAGAAGAGCCAGAAGGATGCTGCCGAGCAGCGGAAACGGGCAGAGGGTGCTGAGGGGAAGGTGACTTCGCTGGAGGAGAAGCTGGGGACAGCGACGGCCGAGGTGCAGGCGCTGAAGGTTCGTACGGAGGTTTTGGACAGCGCTGTTCGTCCGGCCGAGGACGAGACTGATGGGGATCGGCGGCTAATCACCCGTGCTGACTTGATCGCCCGTATCCGGGTGTTGGAGAGCGATTGTCTGGAGGCCGTTGAGGTCGGGTTCAAGAATGCGGTCGAGCAGATTCAGGTCGCCAACCCTGGTGTCGAGCTGGTCGTGGACGGGATAGGGCCGTACCACGAGATTGTTGATGGGAGGGTGATCGATCCTTATCTTGTTATCCCCGAGGAGGAAACCGTGGCTGCTGACCGAGCGGACGAGGAAGCATAGGTTGCCGGGCCTGCGTGCTCGTTGTTTTTGTGGCCTGCGTGCCGGTGTTTATCTTTTGCTTTGGGCCTGCGTGCTCGTTCTTGTACTATTGACTACTGGGCTGGTGCCCGCTTTTGTTAAATATATTTATCATGGATTTTCTAAGTGTGCGCTCGTTATTTGCATGTTGTTTTATGCTCGTTTTTCGTATTTGTTCGAATGCCTTTGATGTGTATGACATTTCTTGTAGATTTTCTAAGTGTGCGCTCGGTGTGTTTTAGCTCGACAATTTGTTACCGGTAGTGTAGGGAACTGACCGGTTTGGCCGGGGATGTAGCCGGGCCGTTTCGGGGGTAGTTTTCCCCGGGGCGTGGGCGGCCCATCGCGAGCTGGGTGTCCTGCCTGTTTTGGTACGGCGGCGAGGAGCCTCGGTCGAGGTATTCCCTGCCGAGCAAGTCCTTCTGCCCGCGCACACGAGAGGCAGGGCTTGCTTTTCTTTGGTCGCTGGTGGACGCGGGGGTGTGCGGTGGTACCATGTCGCCCCCCCAGTGGTCGGGACGATGGGTCGTCGCGGGCAATGTGTTAACTGTAGTACCGCTTAAGCTTCGCGGCGTTCCATGGTCGAGCTAATTGTTCACCGTGCAGGTTTTCGAGGTAATAGGCCCCATGCTCCGTTTTGTCCCGGACTCGGTACGGGCCTTCCCAGTTCGCCGCCAGTTTGCCCTCGTGGGAGTCTTTCTGGTTTCTGCGTAGAACTAAGTCGCCAGTTTGAAAATCGCGTTTTATGACTTTGTTGTTATGGCGAAGTGTGACTTGTTGCTTCAGCCGGGCTTCCCGGAGAGCTGCTCCTGTGCGGATTTCTTCGACGAGGTCGAGCTCCTCTCGGAGGGAGCCATCGTTGTCGTCGGTGTCCAGGGGAGCTTCCGTTCGTCTGGACGGTTCGCGGATTTCGACCGGTATCACGGCCTCTGTTCCGTACGTGAGGCGAAATGGGGTCTCC